GCTTCACGACGAATTTCAAAATAACAGCTTTCGTCGCCGCTGCACGTATTGGTATTTTTTATATATATATATATAATATATATTTTTTTTGTATTTATATGTATGTATATATATATATATATATATATTTATTTATTTATAATTCTTTCGTTTCTTCCTCGCGATCGGTACCGTGTCCTTTTAGGCTGCGCATTTTATTTTATTTTTAGCTTGTGTCGAGAAATGGAACTCGTTGAAACTGTGTCTCGAATAGAGCCAATCATTTTAATTAACGTTCACGCACGATTTCTGGGCGAATTTTCGTGACGATCGACGAATTTTGCATTACTTCGTTGTATTCTCGTGTAATTTTCTTTTTTTTTTTTTTCTTCGCTTTCTTTTCTTACGAATGACTGTTACACGTCTCTCGTATTTATATTTTTAATTATAAAACAATTGACGGACATAGAGCGAAATATGTTTTGATGTTGGTTTTTTTTTTTTTTTTTTTTTTTTAAATCTTGGGCCACAATTCTTATGTTTTCAGGTTCTTTTCTACGATAAAAAAAATTTCTTCTCCTCATTGTACAAACTTTTTGATTCAATTTGCAATACGTATTTGCTCTCGTGTTAAAGTATCGACACAACTGAACCAGAATTATGATGAATGAAAGTATATTGCACCGATTCGTCTTCGTGTCTTCGTATCGACGCTTATATTAAATATTTTAATTAACCGCTAGAAATATCAACAATATCGAGCGATAAAAGATTTATCGTTCGTAAAATAAAACGTTAGAATAAAAAATACACGGATCAACGAGCGAAACAATTATTTTTTATTAACAGGCGTTTCAAACACGCAAAATCAACATTTCTTCTTTTCTCTCTAAATCGCGATTAAAAATTTCAACAAATATCTCAACCACGGCCAACTTTCCAACTTTTTTCTTCGTCGAGATAGCCTTTTCTTCTTTTTTTTTTTTTTCCTTTTCTTTCTTTCTTTTTTTTTTTTTTTTTTTTTCGTACTTCAGGGAAGACACTAAGAAGATTATCGAATTACGCGTACCTGTCAGATTTCTAATAAACTTACGTTTTATGTTTCAGGCATAGAAACGTTTGCTTCGTTTTCTTCTCGCCGAATAGAGCAATATTTAGTTTACGAGGAATTAATGGCACGAAATATTTGTGGTCCGCGAGATGGACTGAAGGCACACCTTTTATATCCATATCCACGTACTACGGGTAATCGAATCGTTTTTTCGGGAAATTATTATTTTTAAATTTACTGATAAATTCCTAAACGCTACGTTTGTCCCAAGCGGGTTTGATTTCGTCGATTCTCTCGTATTCTATCTGCACTCGCAAATATGTTCTCTTCAACGTCTGGCAACGTCTCGCAAACGTTCCCCCCTCCCTCCCCCCCCCCTGTATCGTTCTTTGATCATCGCGTTTTTTTCTCTTCTTCTTCTTTTTTTTTCCCCCTCCCTTTTTTTCTTTTTTTTTTTCTTTCTTTCTTTCTTTCTTTCTTTTTTTTTTTGATTCGAAAACGCTTGTCGAAACGCTTTTGATTCGTTTAAAGCACGATCCGTCTATCTTTTGATTAATAACAAAGTCGCCCGCCTCTCTCTCCTCCCTCCCCACTCTCACGTTTTTTCTCCCTCCCTCTTGTTCTCTCGCCCGGTTTTCACCTCGCTCGTCCCCTTTATCGTTTGTCCTTCTTTCACACTCGTCCCTCTCTATTTCCTACGTTTCTCTATCAGCTCTATTCGGTTCACTCGACTAAATCCTATGGGTTTCGTCGCAAACGGGGATACTCGTACTCGTGGATTTTGCACCACGCGACCACGTATGATGAGACAGTTTCATTATTGAAAAAAATACCGTACAAATACCGGAGGACAGAGAGAGAGAGAGAGAGAGAGAGAGAGAGAGAGAGAAAGAGAGAGAGAGAGAGGGCGGCTATCAAAGGGCGATTTCGAGCGACGAAACAGAGGAAGTAGCGGGTGTACGAAGCATCGGATCGTGCTTAAAACCGAAAGAGACGAAGCATGGAGTAAGAATAGACGAGGAGGAGGGATGGTTACGAAGGTCTAAAGCACGGTGGATCATAGATAGGCAAATCAGATGGGATTACTTCGTACCTCGTTATACTTGTTAAACCGTCGTCGATCTTCGCGTTTTTTCATTTTTTTCTTAATCCTTAATCTATACTCCCCCCTAACGATCTTTCCTCTCTCTCGTTTTTCCTTCTTTCCGTTCCTCCAACTATTAAACGGCAACGGTTTAAAGGGTTAAAGGAATTTTGTTTATTTTTTTTTCCTTTTTCTTTTTCTTTTTCTTTCTTTTTTTTTTCTTTTTCTTTTTCTTTTTCTTCTTCTTTTTCTTTTTCCCTCCCTTCCCCCCCTGGATACGACGGAGTTACACAAAGAGAGACAACCTTTGATAGATTTGAATCGGAGGACAGGGATACGCATTCGCGAGGAAGGAACTCTCGACGGATCCTCTAATCTAACTTTCGTGCTGTTTTTTTGTGCAATGTGTCTATCTATCTACGAATTGTTTTTAATTCTTTTTTTTTTTTTTTTTTTCATTTGCTCTCGTCTCTCGCTTGTGCTTAATTAATTTTTCAATTATTCGCAGTTTTACTCTCCTCGTTTCGCTCACTCTCTTTTATTATCAACATTCTCTCGTTTGTACGCGTATCATGCGTATCCATGCACGCTTAACACGTGTACTCTCTTACTCACGTTTGCTTGTTTCGATTTCGTTATTATTATTATTATTATTATTATTATTATTATTATTTTTTTTTTTTCTTTAATTCATTTTGCTTCGATTCAGATCGGCCAAGTCGAAATTCGGGACGTCGGGACAGACCATTTTTATCTCGATTTCCACTTTTTTCTTTCTTTCTTTCTTTCTTTCTTTCTTTCTTTTTTCCTTTCTTTCTTTTTTTTTTTTTTTTTTTTTTTTTTTTNTTTTTTTTTTTTTTGATTCCTTAAAAAACTCACGTCGCGTGTCCCTTCTCTCCAATCTATATATGTATATACCATTCGTTGTTACGAATTCGTGGCTTACGAAGCTGGAAAAGCTGAGAGCGAGTTTACAGTATAGAGAGAGAGAGACGCAGGGATAATACGATTTTGTTTCTTCTCATTTCCTAAGCTTAATGATTTATTGCTTAAGCGTCTTAAAGTCGAGATTTTCCCCTTTTTGGTTCTATTGGTATTATATAAAAATCTAAGGTATTAAGTTAAAAACCACGGTTAAGACCAGACACGATTGAAGTTGGAGTCGATCGATCGCTGGTTCGACGCTCATTCGATCCTCGATCCTTCTTCTCTCCTTCTTTTCTTCCCTTCCCCCCTCCCCCTCTTTTTCCCTTCTTTCTTTTTTTTTTTTTTTTTTTTTCGAACTCGACGCGCGAACAGCATCGGTCGACACCCCTCGGCGCATACGGCTGATATTTTTTTTTTTTTTTTTTTTCTCTCTTTATAAAAATATCCAACTGTCTAAAGAAGTGCCGCGTGAAAAGGATCAAAGTCGAATAATAAAAACGGCTCTTCGACACTAGCCTGCGAAGACTTCGCTTATGATTTGTCTTTTTGGCCTCGAGTCTGTGATAATAAATATAATAAACCGAAGATAAGAAGTCCTCGCAGTATGGCGGAAAAATGGATTTTAAGACACGTGGATCTTTCAGTTCCGTGGTTCGCGATAGTCGAGTATGGGTTGTACGAAGGTTGTATGTATGTTTAATTAGTTCGCTCAGGAACAGCGGAATCGTCGAATTATTATTATTATTATTATTATTATTTTATTATTATTATTATTATTATTTTATTATTATTATTATTATTATTATTTTATTATTATTATTATTACTATTATTATTTTATATAATATATTTTTTCCTCTCAAGGTCTGTTTCCGCCTTGCCGCCGAATTTCGAATCGTCCTCGAGTAACTTTTTATTATAACATACCTACCTAACTAGCTAATTGTTTGAATTTCGTTTATATAATAACTTTTTTTTTTTTCCTGTTTGTTTTTTATATTTTACCTCACGTTATAATCTTCACGAGTGTGTGTGTGTGTGTGTGTGTGTGTGTGTGTGTGTGTATGTTTTATTATTCGATCTCCTCCCTTTAATAATATTTTTATCATTTATACACCACGATTACTTATCGGTGGCCGATTCGCGATTTCGAGTAACGCGTTTCGCACACGCGTTCTCTTTCATATCGTTCGTTTTCGATTTATTAATTTTCACTTTGTTAAGCCCAAACTACAAAAATAATGAATCCGGGTTACGGGTCAATAAATACTGGCGGCGTCCTGTCGCTTTTCAATCTCTCTTCCTTTCTCTCATTCTCATTCTCTCGTTCTCTCTTTTTCTCTTACGCACTCACTCACACACGCGCGCATACATCTCTCTCTCTCTCTCCCTCCCATTCTCTTTCTTTCGCTCGCTCGCTCTCTCTCTCTCTCTCTCTGTCTTTCTCTCGAGATAAAGGAGTTTAGCGTCGATTAAATGGCGGAAAGTGCAAATCACTTTGGTTGTTCAACGTGCGTCGACTCTTCTGTAATCATGTCCTTTGTGGACGATGGCAACACACAAAATATTGGCTGTTTACGCTACAAACTGTCTTTGATGATCACATGGTGGTCCGCGTATCCCGGAATTCGTGTTTCATTACTGAAGCTTTTGACACTACCGTGACGGCAACGTTATCTATTAATTCAAGCCGAGAGAGACACTACATTACCCTACAAACTGGACGAGAGGGATACCTCCGATTTCTCGACGGTTAACCTTTCTTTTTTCTTCCCGTAAATATTGCCGGTTTATATTATATTGGACGTGGAAATTTGACGGGGAATCTTTGCAAATATTATTCTCTTCTCCTTATCTTTTTTCCTCTTTTTTTTTGCTTTCTTCTCATTTAAAAGTATATATATATATATATATTTATATATATATATGTGTGTATGTATGTATGTATGTATATATATATATATACATACATACATATATATATATATATATATGTATGTATATATATATATACTTTAAGAAATGTTTTTATTTATTTATTTTTTTTGTATGGATAAGAATTCATCCCCTTTACTCATTTACTTTGTTTTGTCTGGTTTAATAAAGCGATCGATTAATTATTACGTTTTCTGGCAATCGATGCCCACTGCTTTATGTTTCGTGGATCAAGCCGGAAGCGGCATGATTTTTGTTGCTTTTGCTGTCGCGGTGGCGTCGATGGTGACGGAAATTTTGTTGTTGTTGTTGGTAGTTGTGGTAGTAGTGGTGATAATGGTGGTGGTGGTGGTGGTGGTGGTGGTGGTGGTAACTGTTGTTGCTGTAGAAGTTGTTCCTGTTGGTGGGGTGTACTTGCTTACCATCACACTAGAAGGCTAGGCGTCAGCCAGTCCTCATCCGCTAGCTGGACCGCAACCAAGAACACACTTTACCATTTGAACACACAAACGCTGGTTAAGTCTTGGTCCGAATTTCAAGAAAAATAATAGAAAATATTTCTCGACAAACTTTCTCTCGTCTCACGCTCTTCCCTCTCTCGCACATTTCGCATTCGCGCTCGCATCTCATCTCATCTCATCTCATCTCGCTCGCTCACGTTCATCCCTCTCGCTCTTTCCTTCCTTCTTTCAATAATAATAATTCTAAAAAAAGCCATTTTATTACTTTCACTCCTCTCTCTCACTCTCTCACTCTCTCTATCTCTTTCTATCTCATATCGTTCACATTCCAACACACGAAGATACTGGTCGATCTGAATCTACCTTTACCGTGACTCAACCTCAATTACTTTCAATGTTGTAAAAGTGTGAGCAATCCATTGGAAATATATATATATATATATCGTGTTGCTTTTGTTCTTTTTTATCAGTGTCGTGTAAAAAAACGTTTCTCGGATTATTTTTCAATTGCGACGTTCGATCAATTGACTACACCCTCGTGGGAATTGATTATTTTGAACTATATATCGGATAGATTTCGGAACGATTCCAATGGGAATATTATTAACGACGATACGTAGAGATTTTCGTTCGCTCTCTCGTTCGCTTGCTTTTTTTTTTCTTTTTTTTTTTTTTTTTTGTTTTCTTGCGTTTCTTCCATCCGTACGCAATTTTTCGTACGCAATACGATGATACCCATATTACGTTCTCCAGTGATATTTTTCTGGTTGAATTCGAGGTTGAGCCAGGTCGTAGATGCAGTTTCCTTGATGCAAAGTGATATTTGAAAGTAAGGATAAGCCAGGCCGTGCGATGATAGTGGTAGCGATCACTGTGCCTGCGAATCGAAATATGTAAATAAAAATAATTCCTTCCAATGATTTCGAGTATCTCTCTCTTTTTTTCTCCCGTTTAATAACGGACGATTCAATTTGTTGAAAAATATCGTGTATATGATTTATGAATTTTTATTCGTACGTATCCGTAATGAATCGTTTAATAAATTAGGAAGTGCAAATAATATCTCAAATATTATTCCTTTGATTTCTTGCATTGTTTCAAAATTGAAAAATAGTATTTTTTTCATTTCTCTTATTTTTCTTTTTTTTCTTCTTTTACAATTCGAAAAGATTCAGCGAGATACTCGAGTTTAAGTTAAACGTAAGCCTGAATAAGCGTGTTTTTACTTCAGCCTTTCATATTCCAAGAAACATTAACGTGCACGTTAAGCATCAAGCAAAGAAGATGATGGTGAATTCGAGTGCTCATGTGTAATGGATAAATGGATGATGATCCCGCGATATGCATCGAGCAACAGTATATTGAAAGTAATTTATAACAGTAACGATTTTTAATGCAAATATTAATAATAAGCCGAAATGCTGTATATCGAATACTTTGCAGCAATTGATCGATCATTTGAATTATCCGTGTTGTAAAAAAAAAAAAAAAAATAACGTATCAATGGAAGAAAATGCTGATTTTATTTTTATTTTTATTTCTTATTTCTTAAGAGTCTGTTCGTTGCTGCTTCCGATTCTTTTACGACTTGCGATCGTGAAATATATTTCTTGCGTGGAAAAACATGCTTGCAACGAAGAAACTGTTATTAATTAAATATAAATACTTTCAAGTATTAAATTTTATTTAAAGAATTATGAGAAGAATTATATTAAAAGAAAACTTTTTCGAGTAACGACAAATGATAGAAAAAAAAAAAAAAAAAAAAAAAGTATTTGCTGCGATGAAAGATTCCGTAAAATTTCATACTGTATGTTTGAACTAGAATCCAAAAATATTTACTGCTGATGAAAGATTCTTATGCAGGATCTTGATTTATAAGTCTTTTTCATTAGTATTCCCTCATCTCGAATATGTATCGTTAGGCCCTCTTATCTCTTCAAATACATACTGAAATTAGAGAAAATACGGTATAAATTTCTTAATATCTAAAAGTGTTTTAAAATTAATTCCATCCATAATACGATTACTTTCAATAAACTGTTTAATATCGTACAAAATTGATTGGCTTGCGATAATTCTTGTTGCAGAATACAAAATACGGAATGGAATACGATATTACACGCGAATACGATATATGAGGTTATGACTTAGGTTTATCAATCAATTTTTAACAGCAAGTTTTAACACAAGGTGAAACAGCAATTGATTTACGAATTAAAATTATCATAAGAATCATGCAATTAATCGAATGATCTATCTTCGAAATAAAATTTCTCAATTAAGCAATGGCCGATCAAGCAAGGGGTATGGGACAAGTGATTAAAGAAATTTTCAAAGAAAATTCATAAGTAAGTAAATATATGTAGCTAGGAGAGGTGCTAGCGTTCGTCACATAACAACATGACACGAAATTCCAAATCGGATGAATTATAACGTAGAGAGACACAAAGAGATTTTGTCCATCGCATTCATCGAGACAACAACGGTTAAAACGATCCATATTGGAAAGCCACTCATAACACAAATTTTCGCAGTCAATCGTTCAATCGTCTGAATAATAATCTTTTACAACAGAAGCCAAGACTGGATATTTCACTAAACGTTCTCGTTAATCTGATCCATTCGTTTCGAAATATTATTACGAATTTTAAAAAGAAAGAAACGTATATCATTCTAACGTTATATCGTTATCGCCTCATAATTTATTCTCGAAAATTACGTACGAGAGGAAGTTTCTAAAAAACTTACATTTATTGTTATCGTCGCAACAAATATACACGAAACAAAAATATTTACCATGTTTCAATGCGTAAATATCGACGGGTGTTTTTTTCGGAACGAGTGGATCAAAAATACGATAAAATTGATGCAAGAACATGTCTAAAGCAGGGAGTACAAAGTTCTACGTCTCGTACGATGCATTACTTGTTAAAAGTTTGCCATCATTTTCCTCCAAAATTTTTTTCTTCCCCTCACCCTCGCATTTTCCAATTTTACTTTTTCAACAATGTCCTCCTTTAATGTCCCAAAAAAGGGATATTTACGATTTCAAACTTTTGCACGAGTAATGTACGAGTATAAATAAAGGATAGAGAAATGGTGACGAAATCGATGCACGGATAGGAAAAATAGAGAGAGAGAGAGAGAGAGAGAGAGAAATAATGGTTACCTGGAACTGTTGCATCGGGTAGGCCATCATTTGTGCCGGAGGTGGTGGTGGTGGGGGTGCGGCTTGCACCCCTGGGGGTGCCGTGACCGTCGTGGCATGGTGTGGCGGTAACTGTGGTCCCCCAGGTAATCCCTGGCCCCAACCTGCCGCCGTGCCAGCAGCGTGGACACCCATTCCCATTCTGCGTTTACAACAAGTTTTTACATAGAGAATTTTTATCACGCTATTATCACGTAAGAAAAGAAAAACGATAATGCGAACGTGCGTTGCGTTATTTTTTTCATTATTATTTCATTGTTGTTAAAATTATTCTTAAATTAAACATCGAACTTTATCATCGAATTTTGTTATCGTTCCAATCCGTTTGTTATTTTAACGTTGTAACGCGAGATTTTTCGTAGTTATGTAACGACTATTTTCTGATAATATCGATGAATATCGTGCAAACAAGTTCATCGAAACAGTATTACAAATTTTAAATTAAACGATAGAAACGATTTAATAATTAAAAAGAAGGGGGGAAAAATGGAACGTCCATTCAAGTTATCGTTGAAATTGATCGAAAATATTCGACAATTTGTTCCCCTCCCATCCCTCTCCTCCCCCTTTTTTTTTTTTTACGAGAACGTTTAAGGACGTCATAACGAAGGCGTTTTATTTCCCACACGGAACGGTTTAAACGGTAAAATCGCACGTTCCAGATTCATGAATATATGTATCGTTACATAAAGGTCTCGAATCTTTTCTACGTACAACGCACGCAACTGAAAACTTTAGGTTATCCAGGATGTGTTACCATTACTGGTTTACAATCCTGATAATGCTCGGAAAGCATTCGGATACGGTCTTTAAGGGTGCCATTTCACGGATCGTAAGAGCGTTGAAAGATATTCTCCTTGCCAGAAAGCGCACCCCCTTCGTTTCTGCCGCGTAATCTCTAAAAATTGCTCGATCGGCAAATGCACAAATTCGATTTGATGCCTGTGTTAACGGTGGAAACCGTGTGTACTAACTTCGATCGAGTTAGGTGTCGCGTGAAAATTTCAAAAAAAAATATATATGTGTGTGTGTGTGTGTGTGTGTGTGTGTGTGTGTGTATAAAATTGTTACGTTACCGTAACATTTTATTTTATTTTATTTTATTTTATTTTATTTTTTTTTTTTACATCGATGGAAAAACGCAGAAATTTTGCAGAGAATCGTTGACCGATATAACGCAATTTTCGTTTATTAAATATTATCAAATAAATTTGAAATTTTTGATATTACATCACGCGCGCATAATACGTAATAATTACAGCGGCGAATGCAAATGATTTCACTTATGACACAAATATACAAATTTAGCGGTTGCTATAGCAAGTTAAGCGTGGGAATGGAAATTCGAATACGTTTGAATTTGGCAAAGGACGTGCAAATTTACCGTTTGAACCGGTTTGATGTATGCGATTTGAAGTTCGATTAGACAAGAAATTCAACGATCGATAACAATATCGTTTGAAGAACGGAAGGAAGAGGAGAAAGGAAGAAGGAATTGCTTGTTTTCCAGATAAATAAAATATTTCCTTCGATATTTCGGCGAATCTCTTCCTTTCTCTCCCTCCCTCTCCCTCTCTCTGTATTTTCAAATATATATCTCAGCGTTATCTTATCTTATTCAAATTTCCATCGACTTGTCGGGAAATAAATGTCAGGAGATATTTAAAAATAATATACGTCTGACGTTTCCTTGACTTTGATGCCGTTTAAATCCCGTAGGGAGTGTAAAACGATGGGTCTCAACCCCTTCACCCCCGTACGATGCACACAATTGAGAGCTTTAGTTTATTTCGAACGTGTACCATTCCTGGCTTTACAGTCTTGAGAATACTCCAGACGCATTCGTAGCGCCCACTTTAAGGGGCGTCATTTCATAGATCGTAAAACCGTCCAAAGATATTCTATCCTAGAAATTACCTTGGCCTTTATACCATGTGATCCTTAAAACTCGTGCTCTTTTGTTACTACGCTACACATTCACAGGTTACGATTTAAAGCCGGCCCGCTATTTACCATTTTTACGATATCGTCAAATTTTCAATTAAATTTATTCCCCGCTTTTATCGGCCACCATTTCTCGAAAACTCTTATTCCGATATCCTAAGTTTCTACTTGTAAAACGTACGGGTATTATCGTTTCTTCCGACTTTTCTCAATCTCAAATTTTCCCATCATTATTTTTCTCCTTGATTCTACGTCGTTGACACGAGACAGAGAGAGAGAGACGCTCAACGATGTATACGAATGCGCAATTTTCATCGGTCATTTACAGACTACTGTGTCATCAACATTAGCGGTCTACTATTAAGTTCAGACATCGTTTTAACGTAGAACGTTGCAAGAACCGACTTGACCTACTGAGCTTCGTACACTCGTCTCACCGGTATCGGTCTCCTAATTGATCGAGATCAACGACGGAGACAGGATACTTAATCCACCAGTCTCGGTTTACGAAACAAAATACAGGGAGGGGGGTTAAACCTCAACTTGCATTGCTTTTTTCTTTCTCCGTAATTCGTTTCGTTCGAAGCGGCAAATATCATTCGAACGTTTTTTTCAAATAAAGAATTTATCTCGATGGAAACAAGTTTTCCATTCGAAATATTCCACGTCGGCGAAGTTAGTTGGAGAAAGTAGTCAGAGAGCTCTCACCCCATGTATTGCGCCTGTTGATACCCGGCGAACTGTCCATAAGTGTATCCCTGCATCCCTTGAAGGAAACCACCGGCTTGCATCTGCGTCGCTGTCGTCGGATAAGATTGGGGCGGGTACCAGTATCCTAGCTGGCCGGCACCGCCGACGCCACCGACGCCTCCGACACCCGCGACGCCTGCCGCCGCCGCGGCGGCAGCTGCTGCCGCCGCGTAGTATGGGTACGTCGCCGACGATAACGCCTGGAAGAGCACACCAAGATCAATGAAATAGAAAAGAGTAAAAGGCATCGCCACCGTTTCGCGCTTAACCGTGTCAATAGAGACTTAGAAAAAAAGAAGAAAAGAAAAGAAAAGAAAAGAAAAAAGAAAAATGATGATATCGGCTCGCTTTAAAAATCATCCTTCCTCTCTTCTGTCTTCTCGCCCTATCCACGCTTTCGCTGCTCTCTACTTTACCCGGCGAGGAATTTTCCTCGATCGATAATATTACGTTTCATTTCTCTCCTTTTCTATTCTTTTCTATTCTCGCTCGAGGAAAAAACGAAGCGTACGGTCATAAATCGGCGTTCGTTTGCAGTTGATCGTTGCAAACGAAGGAGCGAGCGGACGAAATCGCAATTGGACAGATATCCGGACCGAATCGCGGCGGTTAATTTAGCGAGGTTAAGAAGGGGATCGAACACGAAAGCAGCGTGGCTGCGCGGTAAGACGAGGTAAGGGGCACGGAACGAGGTAGTACGTAGTAATGCGATATCCCGGTACTCGTGGGAGAAGCGCGTTATGGGAATAGGGATCAATTAGAGCGATGTCACGGGCCGGGTAACAGTGGATGGATGGACGGAAGTACTGGGCGGAGGAGAGTGGAAGGGAGGGGGGAGGGCGTACTTGGGCCAGCATTCCCAGATCGGACGTACTTACTCGTCCTACCGGCGCTAATTGCTAAGAGACCCGACAGACACACTTTAGAGCAAGCCTCGTGAATAGACCGGAATCTTGCCCGATTCCCTGTCTCCTCCCTTCCCCCTTCCGTTTTTACTCTCCCACGTAGCGCGCCCAGCCTCTCTCGATCGACTGGGCAAAGCCCGGATCGAACTGGCAATCGAATACTCTAACTATTTCCTTTTCCTCTCGATATCTCGTGCAACCGTCGCCTTTCGCCATTTATTCTCGATAACGAGAATGCACTGGTTTTTTTTTTCTTTTTCTTTCTTTTTACTTTTCCTTTCTACACGCGCGTTGTGCGGAGCGACGAGGAGAAAGAGAGAGAGAGAGGTGTAGAAATCGCTTTTTGCTCTCTCGTAAAATCGTGCTTTCGTCTAATCTAGTTTTCAATTAGAACGCTTACGAAGCGGATACGCTTCGATCGAAGCAGTCTTATACGATAACGCGTTTGCCAAGATATCTCAATTCCCGATTCAAACCGAATTCTAGTTCTAGTTCAAAGTAGACTCGCTACTAATTGCTACCATCCTTGGCCACATACCGACAAGTTAAAACATAGTTCGAGCGTGAATTTCTCTGAAAGAGATAGAGAATTCTTCCTAAATTCGTATTCCTTCCTTCTCTTCTTTTCAACTCTCTTCGCTCTCCGTTCCACTCGCGACTCTCGCGCCTCGATCCTTTCCTTTCCTTTCCTTTTTTTTTTCTTTTCTTTTCTTTCCTTTCCTCGCGAAATTTTCGAAATCTTCGAGGTTCGATTTCCTCGAATCGGGTCGAACGAAAGGATATTCGATCTTAAAATCGTAGTCTCTGATCCCCAATTTCATCCCTTTCCCCCCCTTCCTTCGAGATAAAAGATCGAACGTTTACCTGTCCAGTTTGTTGAGCATTGTTCGGATCCCCGCTCTCCTTCCCCCAGCTACACTTCACCGTTTGACCATTGATGTCGGTGTTGTGAACTGCCACAATAGCGTGTGTCGCCGATTCTTTGGTAGAAAACCTGAAATACAACCACGAATCTCGGATTAGATAATCTCCTTTCCCCTTCCTTCCACCACGCTCACCTAATAATTCCAACCTCTCTCGTCCATTTATTTATTTTCGAAACCATTATCTCCATCTTCCTCCTTATCCCTTTCCTCCTTTTTTATCAACCGCTTATCATTGTCGTTGTGACGTGCGATACACGATGTACGTTACGTTAGTGAAACGAGAATTTGCAGATAGATACGTGGCGGGAGAATAAATATCATCAGCTCGATCCCGATCGATCGACCGTTTCTTTTTTTTTTTTTTTTTTCCGCCAGTTACACGAGGACCTTATTATCGGTAGATTCAACGGAACGGTCGCCGCCTCTCACTGGAGGCCTCTTCCAGTTTAATTTATACGAGTTTACCGTGCGCACGGATAACCACGATAATTGTGAACCCCTCCCCTCCCCCCTCGAATCTAGATTATACCCTCGAATCTAGAGATTCCATCGTTTAAATCGTAGTATTTCGCAGTGTATACTCGCCACTTTGAATCTCGCATACAGGAGAGCGTATTTCAAAGTGTATCGGCCATGTGAAACAAACGCACATCCCTCCCCTCCCCCCTCCTCCCGCCGCGATATTATCGTTCTCTCGATAACGACCGAGTTAACCGCGCGTGTGTTGTTTCTCCCCCCTCCCCTTTCTATCCTCTTTCTTCAGCCTCTCCCACCGCACCTCGTGTCCCACCCGACGCATTATTCATTTATTCATCTGTTATTGGAAGAGGGGAGGGGAGGGGGGGAAAAATCGAAAAGAAGAAAAAAGAAAAAAGAAAAAAAAGGCATCGATTCGAAAAGGAGGGATCGCGTTATCAGCTTTCTTTCTTTTTTTTTATTATTATTATTATTTATCGAGTCCTTCAATTACGAGGGTTAAGGTTTAAGGTTCGCCATTTGGCGTTCGTCCAAGATTAAGGGGCGAGGGAGGGAGAAGGGATGATGGGTATGTCCTCGTAAATGTCGTCTGTGTAAACCTGGGTACTGAAAGGGGGATGGATGGATGCGTTATGCGTGGTGGTCGGGCATAAACACGTCGTTTTTTTTAACAAGAGTTATAAAGATAATCTTACGTACGGATGCTCGCCCTCCTCCCATTGATTACACGTTCTTCCGTATTTCTTGTTCGTTATGAATGAACGAAGAAAGGGGAGGTTCGCGGTTTATTGCGACGACGAGGAAAGATCTTGGAAAAGGGAAAAGGGAATAATCTTCGCTAATGTCTTTTTCTTTTTTCTTTTTTCTTTTTTTTTTTTTTTTTATTAAATAATTTATAAAGAAAGAGGCAATGGATACAATGGGATATATAATTGTTGCGACCGATGAAATTACATACTTTTGTCGTGTAATTTGTAATCTCGTAATTCGTAATACAAAGTATATTGAATTACAGTTTATTCTTCGCGCATCGTGTATAAAAATAGAAAAAAAAAAAGGAGAAGGGAAAGGGAGTGCCCTTTACGAGAATTGAGAGGTTGGTAGCTGATTGAAAAATTATTTCTTTTAATGCAGCGTCTTTTTCTTTTCTTTTCCCTTTTTTCTTTTTTTTCGCATTGCGGAAACGCGCCTTTGAATCGTTTTATATATAAACGTAGCAATTGAGCAAAGAGACGTAAGATTTATTGTTCCTCGAGATGCGGTTTTCGCGGATATAAAATTTCTGCCGGGGACAGACAACAAGAGCTTTGTGAAATACGTTCAATTATGAAATCCAAGGTAAATTGATTTCTCTTGTTGATAATTTTGTCCCGTAATGCCCCGTATTTAAAATGTTCGAATTGTGCGAAGCGAAACAACAGTTTGATTGATAATTTTATTATATAGGATCGAAAGAAACGGCAGAGAGAGAGAGAGAGAGAGAGAGAGAGGGAGCGGCGAGTCGTTATAACTTTCGTTGTACACGCACCGGAACATTTTAAATTATTGGTTTTATCACGAGATTGTTGGTTTTTATAACATTCGCGATTGAATTTAAATCGTGACGAGTGAAAGCTATATAGCGACAGAATTTATAACGCATTGAAAAGTACGAACGGGAGGGATCATAATTATCCAGTTCCAGTTCAACGCTCGCCTTCTTTTCTACACGTTAAAAAATTATAAGAATATTTTTTTATCGTTAAACACGTTACGCAACTCTATACGCGATTCAACTTTCGCACGGTTTTCGATTCGACGAATATCAATCGCAACGATAAATTACCATGCTATGAGATATAAAACGAAGAAAGGAAGAAAAAGAAAGATAGAGAGATACCAGTTCGATCGTACCAGTTTCGACGCTCGTATCTCATATCCAGTTACTTTTTTTTAAAACGTAACATCGGCCCATTGGCAGCCCATTCCAACCACGTTTCCCAACAAAATTCGATCAATTTTCGCCGGTCGAGCATCTCACGAGAGCACCAGATCTTGGATTCACGAATACGACATTGGCTGGCAGCGATAAGAAATCATCGAGTTTATCGAGAGATTAGGTCACTTTTAACACTTTCCCCCCTCCCCGGCACAATGGAATTTCCCGTCCAAAAGTTCATTTCTCCGTCCACGTTTTCCTCGAATAGTACGACGGTCATCGTCAACGACCAACCCCTTTTCCACCTCGTTCTCACCACCGAGTCTAAAGCCCAACCGATAACCACCGCTGGATAAGATTCTTTCTTTTCATCGGGAATAAAAGACCCCTTCCTCCCTCCCTCTCTCTCTCTCTTTTTCTCTCTCCTTATACGATCTATACTGTACACAAGGGGTAAGTCCATACGTCGTCCAGGGATATTCGTTTCCTGACTATAGAAGTTTCTGACTATAGAAGAATAGAGGAAGGGAGGAGCAATTAGAAGAAACGAGGGACATTGTCCACGGGTGACGGAATTCTCGGATAACAAGGATTGCTACTGGGAGCGAGAAGAGAGGAGCACGATGTTTGGAAATATCGTGGCACGTGCGAATCGAATCGGGATGAGATAAAGCGGAGAAATTCTTTCCCTCTGTTCTCCCAAACATCGTGCTTATTTTGAATCCTCCCACTAGTCGAGAGTGCATCGTCATTCTTCGAAAGCGAAGAAACAACATTTTCGATTCCTTTCGCGTCTATTGCAATCTAATACTGTCCTTCTGTCACGCAAAATATCGCCACGTTGAATTATAACTAATCGTGAAAATGCCTGTTTAACGGTGTCTCGTGATGACGTATATATATATATTGCGATATTGGCACGTGAACTTTCGAACGTGTGATTGGCTGCCGTCAATGCGCGCGTGTATGCGCATAGTCATAGCGACGAAGGAATGGAATGGACATAAATATGATTACAGTGAACGGAGAAGAAGTGGTATCCGTATTCGCGGATCAATTATTCTTCCATCTCTCTTAGATAATAGAATTCAATTACTGTATGCTGTTTGCAATCGCGTATATATATATATATATATATATATATCACTATTTACGTGGCAAAGCGTGAGAAAGTGGGAAAAATTGCCAAGGATAAATGACGCCCCGTTACGGTAAATTAATGGAAAGCGAGTTGCATGGTGATCGCACGGTTTTTTGTTACGGTGATCATTATTTTGATGAATTACATCGTAAGATAAATTATCGGGTGAATTGCTTGCCCCCCCCCTCCAGGTATCGTCTATTAATAATAAAACTCGGAGAATGAGAAACGAGAAGAAGAAGAAGATGAAGAAGAAGAAGAGAAAGAGGAGGAAGAAAAGGGGGGGGGCGAAGAATCGGATTATATGGGGGGGGGGGGGGAGAAACGAGAGCAAGAATCGAATGTTAAAAGTAATCGAGATGATCAATTTTTTTTTTACCTTACCGCGGGCAATTTGTCTCGGAAGGGAAGGAGATGGGATCCTCCTTCCTTGATGGTAGAACTCGCCAGAAATCGCGGACTCATGGTTATTTTCACTCTGACCATATCAGGTTGTGTGTGCGCGCGTGTGTGTGCGATTGGACGTACAGCGATATCGGCCGATATCGATCGAATGTGCAAGTGATTTTGGCCGTATTCCGAAATCAGCTATCAATTTTGAAAGCATCATTGCATCCCCTGTCAGATGCCAGAAGTTTCGGTTAAAGACATCATGATGTTATCATGTGCTCTCGGCAAACTTCATGATGCATCCTCCTCCTTCTCCTCCTCCTCCTTCTCTCCCTCCCCTCCTCCCTTCCCTTTTTCCACTTTAAACGTTTGCCAACCAAAGTCTGGCGGAATGAAGCATTTGGCTCGAATTTCCACGTTCCAGAATTTTATTAAACCGAAGTTAAGCACGGTTAATTAAACTACACGTCTCTTCGTCGAGTTCTCGAGTTTTTTTTATTTTTTAACTCGGAATTTTTCGACGGAATTTTTAATTTTTAGCAAAAAAAAAAAAAAAAAAAGAAAAACCTAGATCGAATCATCGGTCGAAAAGATGAAAACGATATTTTTTTCGCGGACACGCGCACACCGATTCAACTTTAATTCGTCTACCGATTTAGATTGTAGACCTGAAAGTTTCTTTTTTTTTCTCTCTCTCTCTAGTCCGTTGAAAGATAATCCGGATTTAGCGCGAAGAATTTATTATCTCAAACTCGCCATTCTCGTACGTGAGAACTTTTTCTATCGATCAGCTTAACCCTCCCCCCTCCGTTTTGCTCGCTTTCTTTCGCACGGATGATCCCTGACTGCGCTAGCTACTTCAGCGCTAGCTACGTTCACCTTAGGGACTTGTTGTCGCACTGACATCTCCTAGAGGTGTTACACGTAACGTATATCACCACGACATTTCAACAAGAGCGCGGCGCGGTCTTGAGGGACGTCAAGAATCGAGAGATCGGCGAGCGTAGAAACTTTCGAAATTAATAATAAGTTTCGAAAGGAACGAACGATGCGTCCCGTCTCTCCGTTTATTAAGTCTAATATTAAGTCAGAGCTAATTCTTTCTTTTTCTTAACTTACCGCATAGCGATCGAGAAGAGTTAAGGGTCGAAGTGAGAAGAGACGATGAGTAGGGACGAGGAAACAACATAATAAAATTTACCTGATGAAAGCGTAACCCTTGTCCTTGAATACGCGAATCTCTTGGATGGATCCGAAAGGCGAAAATGTTTTTTGCATTAGCTCTTCTGTTAGACCATTGGTGAGTCCGCCGCAGTACACCGTGCAGTTGGTCGGACTACTTTGATTGTACACTTCATCGAAAGTCAATGGTTTCGCGTTTGCTGCAAAGAGAGAAAAGAGAAAAGAGATAGGTTTAATTGAGATTAAATATCTACTTCGTAATTGTGAATAATGTTGAAAACCGGTGAAATTTCTTCGTACGTTTCATATTCTAACTATATCCGTTATCCGTTGGTAATATCTATACGTAAAAAAAGCTTTTAACACTTTTTTAAATATTTGAGCGTAGCAGGCTAACAGCAGGGTACAGTAGAATCTCGTTGATGTCGATACATTAATAAGATCGTTAACACTGTCAAATTTGTAATCTAAAGTTCACTAGCTTCACGAATTTACATCAAAGTTACACTTAAGTCTAATTAGCTGCAAAGTTTGCCAGGTTCAACTTTGCCTCGATGCGGAAATTAATTGTAAAATTGCAAATAAAGTAGGTATGTACAAAATTATAAAGAGAGACGTCATTATATGTCGTTGCAAAAACGTTAGACAATTTTTTAATCTCAGTAAGATTCTTAATACGAAGCTGGTGAAAAATATTATTAATATCGTCATCGTTTGGTAAACCGAATCAAAATCACATTAACACGTTATCTTCGTTAAAGAGTTGATTCGTAGTTGTTACTGGACTGCGGATTTTCATTGTTCAAATATTCGACATATTTTACGTGAATAATATAAATACAAAGCATTACACGTTGCATCACGATATCTTTTCCAGAAACAAACGTATCTATCGCGCAAAACTTACCTTAAAACTTAATCGAATCCTATTAAAATCAAGAAAACTTTGAATCGCTATAACTTCGAAGATAATAACTTTTTGTCGACGAATCAAAGATCGTTAGAAGCGCGGAACCTTTCCCTTTAAAACGCTTTTCGAATTATTCCGATACGACTTCCGGTTGCCGAGATATCGTCGTGTAAAGGAAAGGGTAATTTTTACTCGTTTACCATCCTCATCCTCGTCGCTTACTCGGACCTCTCGCTCGCGCCTCGTCTCGCTGATCTATCCCCAAGTTGCAAACAAGTGACGGGCACGATTCTTGGAAGTAGTACGCACTTCCAAGAAATAAATATAGGTCACTGGGTTGCGGGGCCATTCGTAATCTTCGCACTGTGTTATATCGCACATACGGCCACTTTGAATGCTCGTATCTCGGCAACCGATCGAGATATCGGGATAAAACAAAAAAGGAATTCAACGGTATGATTTCCTTCGTATTCTGAATGGGTCTTTTTGGGATGAGAAAATTTTTTTTAATTTCTTCTATAATTTCTTGCGTTTTTCCTATACGAAATGTCGAAGTTTCATTTACGATTCGCAACGATCTGTTTGTTCGTCGATTTAAAGCACACAGGGATACAATATGATTTGATGTATATAAAAATATGATATATTTTTCGTACGTTGGTTAAATATTTGAACATCCGCAGTCTAGTTCTTTCATAGTTATTCAGTGAAAATATTGGGTATTTAATTTAAATGATGTATACTAATCGTGAAATTTCGAATAATTTTGACAATGGAAAAGGAACTTGGAGAAAATATATCGTTTTTTATTTTATATTTCTGAGAAAATCAAAGGAAAAAGTTTAACCAACAATCGTCGACTTTGGGTATCGTAAGGAAATATTCAATGTTTTGATATTTTTGTAATATTTTTGCGATACAAATTTGCCTCTCTATCTAATGCAAAACGTCTGATACACATTCGATGCTTTCGATACATTAAAACATATTTGAGAGAAAAAAAAAAAAAAAAAAAAAAAAAAAANAAAAAAAGAAAAAAAAAATAGAATATAGAATATATAGAGTTCAAAAGTTGCAGAATCAAGATATAAACCCAAGGACTTTTTCTTTTTTTTACCCTCGATATCACTCGTAATTAATTAACACTGTTATTGGTCGCATAATCCCATCGAGTGTACGTTAAACGAAAGAAGCGAAATAACGAAAGAGAAAACGGCCCCTTAACACATTTAACGTCCCGCGAAACGAACGAGGGTTTGACATTCGCTCGTTCAGGTTTCGTCATCGATCGTCGTCGTCGTCGTCGTCGTCGTCGTCGTCGTCGTTCGAAAGCTCGAGCTCGTCGCGGTTCGAGGCCTGGCCTTGTAAAAAAAAAAAAAAAAAAATGAAGAAATAAAAGAAAAATAAAAAAGGGAAATAATAATTTCATGGACATGGAGTGAAACAAAATCGATGCGGCTTGCGTAAGCGTTTTAGCGGGAAGAAAATTTTTTTTTTTTTTTTTTTTTTAAAGCGAACCGATAAGTTGGGGGAGGGGGGGACGGGGGTTGCGACATTCCGAGAATACCGAGAATAACGTTCGAGAGGGGAGAGGCGGGGAGGGGGTAAGGGGGCAATAAAGAGATAATGCCGAGCTTTCAGAAACGAAGGGAACGTCCCCTTCTCCTCCCCTCCCCCTCCCCCTCCCCCTTAGGTAAGTTCTTAACGGAACGTTCCAACGTTCCTAAGAACCTTCTATCCCCGAACGAGGCAATTACAGGCCTCGTGGTTTACCGGTCGCGCGTTTACACCCGTAGCCTGTGCGCTACCCTGGCTATAGGCTAAGCCCCCCCCGTAAACGATCGTAAACTTAGGTGACGGGGGAAGAGGGGAGGGAGAGGGGGAAAGGGAGGGAGGGGGGGGGGTTCAACCTCTTTGGCATTGCCGTTCGATATCTCGAACAGCTCTAACCTGGTGCATCGAGTTCCACGTCGTTGTCGTAGTCGTCGTCGTCGTCGTCGTCGTCGTCGTCGTCGGACCTGACCTCTTTCCGGCTATCACCGATGCTAACACGGTGCAAAGCGGATGCAACGTGGATATCTATGAGCGTTAAACGAGTCTAATTTTTGCCGTATAACATTTTCTCTTCCCGTTTTACACGTGTAAAGAACGCGAAAGAACGAAGAAAGGGGGAGGTTTTTTTTCGAATGATTTTGTAAAAGGAAATTTTTTGGAGCGGATCAGTGAAGTGAAAGTTAGTCGAGTAAAGTTATCCACGCTTATTATTGAATTATTGTACGTAAAGTTGTTTTTTTTTTTTTAAGAAAACAATCGCAAAAATCTTTTCTAACGATGATTATATACTCGTACTTCAAGGTGTACGTGTATTTCTACTTATTTCGAAAGAAAGGTATCTTCTTGATCTGTTGTAAATATCTTGAATGGAAGATGAACAATCTATGGTTTAAGAAAAAAAGATCTCTTTCCTAGCTTCGTCTTTCCTCCGTTAGGAAATATCGATTAAACTGATAGATTTCGATAAGTTAAGCTACAATTTTCGAGTTAATAGGAAGGAAAGCCAACTCTGTGATCTCATCGAATATATTTCTTCTCGTTCCACGTGAATTGATGTTGAAAAAAAAAAAAAGAAAAAGAAAAAGGAAGAGAGAGAAAAAAAAAAGAAGAAAGGAAGAAAAGAAAATCGAAATTCATATCGGACGATCTATCGGAAAAATTGCCACGAAGGCTTTAAAGGATAGTAGGCTGAAAAATTGAGGAGTTACTATAGATCCGTGCCATGATAAAGCTTTCATAGTAGCAGGTCTCCGTGAATGAAAATCAGCTTTAAGAGAAAAGATCGTGGAGATGAGATCGGTACGCCCGAAAAGCTTTTCCCAGAGATAGAAAGAGTAACCATTTACGATCAAAAATTTTATCCTGGCTTATTCACGCTGAAAGTTTATCGACTTTTCAGTGATTCGTAACCATCTCTTGTTTGAAATCGTCTATTAAAAAAAGAAAAAAAAAACAGAAAGAAAAAGAAGAAAGAAAAGAAGAAGAAGAAGAAAAAACAGATAATCGTAAATTGATTTTTCCCTGCACATATTGTACACATATATAATATAAACGAAATATCGTACAACGAAGAGAAGGAAGCGAATGTATCATCATCATCTCCATCGTTCACTTATTTAATTACGAAAAAGAAAGAAAGAAAGAAAGAAAGAAAGAAAGAAAGAAATTCAATAATAACGTATACATCGCGTATAACAACGATATATATTTTCCTCCTAGAATCTCTCGATAAATGACCTATATTCGCGCGACCAAGCCACGGAAGCGGATATATCTCGTTTAAGGAAATCTATCTAGGGCTATATTTACCGGACCTTTCGATTCGCCCTGTCGCCGCGAAGGGTGATCCGTGATTTATGGGTTGCGGCTTAGACACAGACCGACATAAGGTTCTCCATTATCAGGAGTGGGGGGAGGGGGAGGAGAGGAGAGACCTATCCCTAGATAGGTCGACACTCGGCTCATTAAGCACCTGATTACACGAACGCGGTTAAATCGAACTTCTTCTCTACACGCTCAATCAATGGCGACCCCTCCCTCCCTCCCTCCCTCTTCAGGAGAGCATGCTCCGGTGAAACTTTATTCTTATCTGACCAGAGGAGGGGGGGGGGGAGGGAGAGGGGGAGAGGGAACAAGTCGGCGATCGGCTAACTAGATTTATCGCGCTAGATCTAGCAACTTTTTACTTGGCTGAATCCCCGATAACTTCGACCCCTGTTACGAACCCCGCCGCTCCGACAGGTACGGCCCCGAACGGGATGAAAGATCAACAAGAAATTCGTGGGGTAAACTCGAAATTTTCCCTTGACCGTGCGCGCGAACAGGTCCCGGACAGGGTTTTCCACAGTTTTCCCGAGGTCGAATGGGAAAAAGGACGAGAGCGGGAGGGGGGAAACGTTGAAAGAGGGAGAATGAAAAAGAAGGAGAAAATAATGGAGAAGGAGAGGAAGGGAGAACGGGAAAGTGAGAAAGGGGGGAAAAAAAGAAAAAAAAAAGGAAGGGATGTTGGACTTTCGCAATATCATCTCTCTCTCTCTCTCTCTCTCTCTCTCTCCCGGGGAAGGAAGTTTCCACTTTTCACCATTTTATGGCGAATGGAATCTCTAGTGGTCGACGATGGAACTCGAATGTACGTATCTCGTATCCCCTTAAATAACGTAGATACTCGAAGTTTCGTTGGCACTGGCTAGCTGCACCCCCTAAGCGCGCCAATATCCCACCAGAGTAAATTCATAG